TCTGCTGGACTTCCTATAAACCCCTCACACTGTAGAGTGTAACAGTTCTTTAAACATCAGTTCTTTAAACATACTGTTGACATTCTAAAATATACAATAATGCCACAATTGATGAATGTGTATTCTTATACCCTATTTTAAACATTTTACTCAAACTGTGTCTTTTAATGGTATTCCTAGGCACACTAAGGCTAGTCTATCCAGGCTTAGGGAGGATGATATGATGTCAAAACTGTAAGAACGTACAAAAGTGTATTTTGCATGATAGGTCACCTTTAAGTGTTTCGTCAAGTTTCTGCATGGGTCCTGTTCCTATGTGAAGTTGGAACATGCCAGTTCCCACAAGTGAGTAACAGAAAGTTTAACGGAGAGAGGTTTTGACAACAGATTCTACAAGAGAGAGACTGGATAAAAAGCGCTTTTTTAAAGTCTTTATTTGCACCATTTTACATGTTTACCTACTTATGTGTCTGTCCCTCTCCCCCCTTCTATGTCCATTAGAGTCAAATCTCCCTCTTAATGGGCATCTATTGTATCCTACCTCTCCTCCTTTTCTATTCACCACACTACCACACGCACACACACACACACTCCCTCTGAGGGGGCCCCTTAACCAGGCTCTCCATATGCCTGACCCCCACCTCCTTTCTCCCCCTCCTCTCTCCACAACCCCCTTCTCCTCTCTCCATCTCCTGCTCACACTCTGGCTTCTGCTCTGCTGCTGCCGCTGCTGCTGCCCCACGCTGCCATCTGCTACAAGACAACAGAGGGTGAAAGAGGGAAGAGGAGGGAGAGAAAAGAGTGGTGAAAAGAGTGAGTGAAAAGAGGAAGACATGAGGGAAGCAAAGACTGAGGAGAAAGCGAAGAAAGAGGGACAGATAAAAGAGGAAGAGGGAAAGAGAAGAAGTGGACACAATACAGCAGAGAGGCTGTCCATCTGCTCCCCCTCTCCCCTCCCCTCCTGACACACAGCCTCACACACACCACAAAGAGAGTATTTAACACACACACACTCTCTCACACACACTCTCACACACACACACACACACACACACACACACACACACACACACACACACACACACACACACACACACACACACACACACGGGGAGAAGCAGAAAGCAGCCCAGCCTCTCTCCTTAACCCGTTCCTCTCCACTGAGCCTGCCTGTATTACACCCTTGGGGTGGCAGGTGATGGGTGGTTGGAGGGAAAAGGATGTCGGGGGGAGCAGGGGGTAGAGGGAAGGGGGATGGGGGTGTGTGATTGAGGGACAGAGTGTAGGGTATGAAGGGTTGAAACTGATCTGAATCAACACCAACACATCCTTCACTACCCCCCCTCCCCTCACCAAATCTCAATAGGGACCAGCTTGCTATCCCTGTCACTATGACAACCTCTGTCAATCATCCTGTAGCAGAGGGTTTCCAAATGGGGACCAATGGTGCCGGATTAGTAATGGCTGCCTAAATATCAGAGAGCAATGTTCTGCCCCTGAACATGATCGTGGTAAACAAGGCTTTTCATACACTATTTACAGAAACTCCACAGCAGGTCAGACGTACTCATAGCCATTTTTCTTTGAAGATAAAACACACATCCAACAGACAACTAGCTGAAATTGTGGCTTTGGATGACGTTGAAATCTGCCGCTAAATGACAAAGCAACACCCACATGCTTTCTTTCCAATTTGTTTGAATTCCAAAAATGATTCACCACTCTAACGTTGAGGTATCAGATCGTGTTGGGGATTTCAACCAATTCCCCTCTTGTTTGAGAAACACAACATTCATACATGTATAGCAGCCGTTATTACCTGTATGTCTTATGAAGCAAAGTTTATCCGAGCCCCTTGTCACCAATTGCAAATGTCTACTGGTTTAATCAAAAGCATGCTTTATTTGAAAATCTGTTAGAATTCTGGATAACCAAAACTACCAACTAATATATATTCATAAGAATACATTATTAAGGGAGAATGCTTTTTTATGTCTCTCTTGTTAATTATCTTGTGACAGATGAAGATTTATCTTTCAGCTCCTTTTTTGGAAGCAGTAATATAGCGAAAGATGTGTACAAATGTATCAGCTGGTTTTATGACACTACAGGTAGCCTAATTGAGAGGATTATCAGCATGAACCCTCTAATTGGCTGACTGATGTATGCCCTTTGATTGACAGATTTTGAAGCCCTGATATCTTTGAGACAATTTGCCGTGTAAGAGGGGTGTTTTTATATGAGCCATTAGACATGTCCACATTTCCCTCATTGAAAGATCTCTAATGGGGCTGACTGGTCAATGTTTTGGGGTTGCGTCAGACCCCTCTTTAACACTGACAGTAGAGATATACCTGACAATGCAGTTACCTTGTGAGCCTCTTATTGATCTAAAACCACAAGACTGAAACACAACGGAACAAAACGCAGCCCTGCATCATGTTGACAACATGACGCCTTCGCTCCTGCTGTGCCTGTCGGGCTCAGTGACATGGAGATGGCTGTCAGGTTTGGACACACACACCACTGTGTAGGTCAACACACACTACAAACACTAGATTCCCCAAAGGGCCTGTACGTACACAGTGTCACACACACAGAAACACCAGTGCAGTGTGTAAAGGGTGTGATGGAGGAGGGGGATGAAGGGGCGTGACCCACAAGAGCTGATTTCATTAAAGCAGAGGAGGGAAGAGGAGAGAAGAGGAGACAGGAAAGGTCTCGGTGTATATGACCACAAATGGAGAGAGCAGACACCAGCTGTCACCTGCTTATGTCAGCTCTATTCTCAGCTCCTATGTGAGTGGGAGTGTGTGTGTGTGCCGTGTGCTAGTGTGTGTGTCACTGTGATCTCTGCTAGCCATGACTGGTTTCAATTACGCAGCAAACTTTGACCCTGTGTAACCAAGCAGGGAAACGAGCTACTGAGGGAGAGAGGTACAGAAAGAGGTGGAGTGTACGAGTGGAAAAGCGGTCAGTTTGAAGATGTTGAGATAAAAAGACAGGTTTTTGACTCAGTACAACACACCTACTTAGATCCGAAACAAGGCAGCGATTCCAGGGATATAGACTTACCCTTTTTCTGGGCGGTCCTCTCTCGTCGTCTTTCTGGCCCCGCCCTGCCCCGCTTCCTGTCCGTCCCTGCCGCCCCCCTTTGCCCTCTCCAACCGGAGGTCTGATGGTCATCCTGATCTCCGGTGGGCAAATGTAGTTCTCAAGGTTCTTGGGGGGCTTCTTGGTGCGCTTTGTGGTCTGAATCTTCAGCTTTAGACTTCCTTCCTGGAAACTTGCTTCCTTGATGGAGAACTCCTGCTCCTCCAGAAGCGCCTCCACCTGCTCCTCTAGCCCCTCCCCTTCGCTGATGGCACCATTAATCACATCATCACCACGCGCCAAACCGATGCCCCCTGCTCCTTCCCGAGCCGCTTCATTGGGCCCCACCCTGCCTCCCTGTAACTCCGCCTCTTTGGGTCGGGCCGAGCCAACCAGATCCCTTGGCTCCATCCACGCTCCCGCCAGAGCCAGGTCAGGATGGGGGAAGCTGTGGCAGCCAGCCAATAGGAAGATAAGAACAGTAGTCTGTCGGGCTGGTGAGTTGTTGTCAATCAGCTACTGGGGTTGGGTTGGGTGTCCCACAGGAACACGGCAAAGCCAGGGACAGTCTGCGGAGAGAGCAGGTGAAGGATATGATTAGGGAAATAATTAAAGCAGAGTCCTGTTATCAGCATTGCTTTCATTCCAGTGTTAACTCTCAGCACAGGCCTGTCTGCTGTCATCAGCATCATTAGTTGCCTGTCTTGTATGAAGACAAACTCACAGGCTCATCACTGTGGGGGCATGCTGCAGCACTCTCATTTGCATTTTGTACCTTGCATAAACACGCTCACTTTTGACACCCACCAACACTTGCCTTCCTCTCTCCCTACTCTCTTCTTTACTCACTCTTTGCTAATCTTCTCTCCCTCCCTTTCATCCTATCCCCCACCACGACAGATCTGAGAGCCGTGCAGAAACCAGAGTGATCAGTGCAAAATAAGACATTCCTCTTCTCTGCTCTAAAACCAGGGTGAAGTTAGCCTGAGGACACAAGAAAGAAAAAATGAAAGAAGCTGACTTCTGTTTTTTGTTTTTTTTTCTTCTCGTTTTCACCAGAGCAGGGAAGGAGGGGGGAAATCACACATGGGGAGAAGTGAAGGCAGCAGAGAAAGACGGAGGGAAGGAATCTAAATTCTTTCCCCAGATGTGGTTTACGAGCTGGTCTGGAAAAACCAGCGTCTGAGCTGTTTTACACCCGCATGCAATGGCATTGATACACATGCATGAAACCCTCCATACACTCCATGCACATTGGTACACATAAGAAATGATAGTGTGCACTTATTCACCGCTGCTGCTGCTGTTTATTTCCAGAGAAAACGTTGTGGTAGCCATTTCTCACAGGATTCAGGTTTTCCTTTTTAGATCATTGCACATGCTGGGCGCAGATATATATTACATACTTACATCAACACACATATGCACTTACACCCAAGCATATAAACAGAAAGCAACCAAAACAAACACTGAACTACACTTCTCTCACTACAGCTCCAGGGAATCCCATCAGTCAATATGACATGAGGCATGACTGAGCTGGAAGTGGGGAATGCTGTCTCACACACTGAGCTTAAACTGACACCATTTACACTGATGTGAACTCAGACTAGACCACCACCTGCGGATATGATTGAAGTAAAAGCTTACTCTTTACTGCAGACTTACACTGACCCAAGAGCAAAAAAGACTTACAGCATACTGAGAATAACCCACCTCCAGCATTGTGCTAATACACTCTCTGACATTCTGAATGTGTGTGTTTTCTCTGTGTGAACTCCTGTACCAGCCCATGCTACTGTACTAACAGCTGATCCCCATCATAATACCCAACAGGCCTTACAGCACATGCTCACAGTACATCAATCCAGCTATATCCGCTTATCCTTTTAGTGGGTCCCAGCTGACATTGGGCAAGAGGTGGGCTACAGGACAGGTCGCCAGACAATCACAGGGCACACATGGGCAATTTAGAGTCGCCAATTAACCTAAGCGGCATGTGGGAGGAAACCAGAGCACCCAGAGAGAACCAATGCATCAGATGGCGAAAGTGCCTAACACTGTACTACTGTGCCGCTTCCTGCTTACAGTGTTATCGAATAATCTTAATCCACAAAGGTATTTCAGTTTAATACTGCGTGAATGTTTCCAGCTCCTGAGGTCAAAGTCAATAGTCGATCATTTTTATTTTGCTAGATTAAATGAAAATGAAAATGTTAGTTTTCTCTCTTTAGCCCTTAAGTTTGCCAATGTGAAACCACAGTCTCAAAACTGACTCATATGGGTTATGGATGCATGTTGTGGTGGACCCATGGTGGTTGAGTATGGCAAAGACCTAGAGGACCATTACAGTGGTTGTGGATGTTAAAGCTTATGAACTCTAAATTGCCTATAATACACGGCCAACTTTATATTGTGCCAGTCATTTTCCAAAGCAAATTACTTTTCAGATTGCTTTCCAACCTTACTGTAGTTGGATTTTCATTTATTAAGTGCAATATGAAAAGGAACTTGAGTCTTTAGTCTGTTTTATTTTAATGTTATATTCATTTCACAAAGTAATATATTTCTGAGGAGCGACTGTTCTGAAAATGCTTCCTTGTTTTCCTTTGGAAAATCCAACCTATCTAATGCAAGAAACTATAAAAACAATGTAATTATTTCTACACTGTTGTTTTTATTTTAAGTGCAATGCTTTTTGGCAGTACATAATCACCCCCCTTACTTTAACTATCCCATCAAATTGAAGTCTTCAAAAAAGATCTTGCTCATCTATAACCAATGGTCAACAAGGGTTACATCAATCAGTAACACTGGCGCACATATTAGGAAGCTAAATGTTCAGTTTGATGGATTACTCAGGAAATTCTGCAAGATTATTTTCACACCCCATTAAAAACCAATGGAAACCACTAGTTCGAAAATCTGTCTAGAAAGCATGGCATGTTGAAAATGGTGAGCAGTTATGTACAGTAAAAGTGATTTGCATTTAATGGGCTAACACATGCAAAACCACCACTGTGGTCCCTCTGTAACCTTTGAGTATTCAAAGTTTTACAGGGATGAGTCCAGGCTCAGTCCCAACCTGATCGTACAGCGCCCACATGACCATCTTTGGTCCTCCAGGAACTTCCCAGTCCCTAATGTCAGCTTGGTGACTCGCCCTCATGGCATGTGTGAAAGCCACCCTGTCTGTCATGTGACTTTGGACAATGACAGGAAAAAGAGGCAGCTGCCAACATCACACATGCAAATGGTCACACACACATGCAAACATAAACTATCCACTCAGGGTGCTGCTCTTAAGACTCCCCTCACATCTATGGCCCAGTATGACAACAAAGTGGTGTCATACATTAGTACAATCTTCATTCTGGGCTATTACTGTGTAAACCACTTAGCTGGGTCATGACTATTCCTCCTCCCTCACAGCTCGCTGCCCAAAGCTGTGTTAGTGCTCAGTTACTGGCAGACGGGCTGAGAGTTTAAGTAAGTCTGACCCCTCCTCGGGCCTCCCTTGCCTAGCCTGAGCCTCACTGTCTCTTCTCCTTCTCTCTCTCTCCTACACACACAAACACACACACATACACACCTCGACTAGCCTCGACTAGACAGCAGGGTGATTGTGAGAGACCAGACTCACTGCATAAATAGCTTTATTATGTTCTCAAAACTAACAGCGCTAACCAGCTTCCCTCTCAAATAGCATAAGGTCATTGGCTGTGCTGGATGCAAGAGGCTTTGAACGAGACACTCCTCCAACATTTTGCTGTGTCCTTTGAAAACAATTAGGATAAAGCGTCCATAATGGAATACAGACGGACAGAACAGAGAGGGAATGATACAGACAGACATAACAGAGGTAGACAGAGTCTGAGTGAGAAACACTGAGAGAGGGAGAGTGAGAGAGATGGCAGCAGAAACACAACCTTTTAAGGCTGCATACCCAGCAGCCCAGTGCCTGAGGTAGACTCACAAATAGCTCGTACACACATGCAGACAGATGCTCACACACTAACATGCTCACACATTTAAACATCCACAAGCACACCAAACGCCCGTGTGATTGCACAAGGTGAAGAGCCCTTTTTTCTCTTTCTCTTTGATGTGAGAGTGTAGTACAGGCTTGGCCATCCCTGGCTGTAGATGAGTATCTCAGAGGGATGATGAACATTGTCTGTCTGCCATTTTCATTTTCCATTTATCTCCTTTTTCTCTTTTTATTTCAGCCCTCTAGTGAAGGGGCAATCACATAAACCAATGTTTCTAGAAGGATCCAATCCTTGGTTGGAGAGAAATCAAAAGGAATGGCCCTGGCCTTCCAATACTTACAAATCCAGTGGGCACAAGCATGAATTTTCAAACTGGAGGTCTATTAGTCCTCTGCCTCAGAGCACAGAGAGGTGCTGGAATGACATGTTTTTACCTGTCCACATCAAAGAGCATACTCTGTTTTTTAAGTGAACATTACATACTTCTATTTGGATTTGAAATGCAGAATAAAGCGTTCTCTCCACAGCTCAGCGAGGATGACACGTGTGCAGCTGTAGGGCAGCGAGAAGGACAATCATAAAGTACCATGTGTGGGACAGCTATAATAGAAAATGATGGCCTTGCGGTCCCACATGCACAGACTTCTCTGGATGAGCCATATGCCAGGTAGCACTAAAACCATCCTCACCTAACTACCCCGCAGAAGCAGATGAATGTTAAACCATTTTAACTGCAGCAGAAGCCACAAAATGGCTGTCAGCAAAACACCTCCCCTTCTCCCCAACTGTCTTCCTCCTTCCCCTCACCTCACCCCCTCCCCAAACCTCTGTTCTCTCCCCTCTCCTCCGTGCTACCTCTTTCCTTTACCCTCCACCTCCTACCTCTCCCTCCCTCCCTTTTTCTGTGAGCTCTGCCAAAAGGTGCTCCAGTGCTGATATTCTGTAAAGAGAGCCTGCCAACAGTTAGATTTGTCCTTGGAACACGTTCACATTCCCTCCACCCTCTCTCTGTGATCCTACTCTGACCAGAGGTATCCAGCTCAGAAGGGGGATACACCTAATCGATTTCTCATGCTTTAATTTAAAGGTGGCACGGGCATCTCATTACCTGATAATGTTTCATACTTTTAAACCACAAGAACGCAGCCAGAGTTTCACCTACGGCAAACCTGTTAACAAGACAAGATCGATGGTTCCCTCCAAGTCTGAATCACCTCTATTATCCATCCCTCAACCCCATTTCTCTCCATCTAGTCACGCACTTCTCTTAGAATTGCCTCTCCTCTCATGCCCTTGTACTACTCCTTCATCCACTGCTCCTTTCCACACATTCACTCCCATATATCCTAGAGACATGACCATTTTCCCACACTTAACCTGACTTATCCAGAGCTGGTCTATTTATCTTCTGCTGCTGTGGTTGAGACGGAGGTTTCTGGGAGCTGCTGATAACAGTAGTGGACTGTCATTCGCTTTCACCCCTCACCTGTCTCCACAAAGCCAAAGCATTGCCATCACTTTTGGCCATGCCATTTCTGACCCCTACGAGAAAGTGATCAGCTCTTGATTAAATATAACCAGAAAAGAGTAGCGCTGGCTTCAACCAAGCAATCGAAATGCAATGTTGTTTGTGTGATGGCATCTCAAGCTGGATTTAGTGCTACTAATGGAAAAGAAACCAGAACAAACACAAGGTGAGGAATGAGTGTGCTTCAGTTTGCTACTTCCACAGCACTTGACATCAATCATGTGACATTTGTCTCCAGCTTCTACAACCCCACAAGCAACAAAAACAACATCCACACTGCAAATATTTCAGAAATGCCATAAGAAACAGTTAAATGGTACATAGCAAAGACTGGAGGAGCATGCTGCATGTCAAAGACTGTGATGCTATGTGATGGATCATCAATGTCAGTGAAGATGCAGAGGGACTACCTCAGTAGAACAACATGTGAACTAAGAGTGTGCACAGCAGTGTTTGAGCTGCTCCTTCATCAGCCTGTAGTGGACACTTCACCACATTGACCTAATTAGCTGTGTTATCTCACTGTCACCTAATTACAAAGGTATTTCACAGTAATAATGATGGAGACTGAGTGGTACAGCATGGTTTGGGGTGGTCTGTGTCTACATGCGTGAGTGCACGCGTGCATGTGTTTAGTCGGAATTTGTTGGCATGTGACTGCAAGAAATGCAATGTCAATTAAAGAATAAAAATGGCAAAGACACTTAACATTACAACTACATAGGTTTAAGTAGCATGTAAACGGCAGGTATATAGAGGAGCACACACATCAGATTACTTACATTCATACAAACATTAACACATGTATAGGAAAGGTGTATTCAGGTGTGGAATGTGGCCAGTCAGCCGGGGACTACTTACCCATTTCTAATGTTGTCACACACTCGACTCTATCGTGTAAATATTTTATCAAGATCATTTACAATCCATTTAGACACATTTTACACAAGCGACGGATGGGATGACAGCCTCCCGGGGAGCTGTCAAACGGTGCCAGAATATATGTTTTTTGACAGAAAACCCCGAGGAAAATGGCGTCAACGGTGCTTGGAAAAGGGAAAAAAAAGCGAAAATAGGATTTGCAGCCGATCTGATGACAGGAGCAAGGTAGGCACAGGAGGGGGGGAAATCCAAGCGGAAACTTGGCGCTTATGTCCAATTCCTGACAGAAATAAGATCTTTCTGAGGCGGATAGACGCGTGTGTTGGGCAGCGGTGCAGAGACACGCTCCGGGCCGTGCAGGATCGCCGGTCACTCGGGGAGCTGCACAGAGATCCCTCGCAAATCCGCTACTCGGTCGGTAGGGGAGGAGGGGGGCGAGCAGGACTATTACTGCAGTCAAAACAAGCCCGCATCCGACTACAAGCCCAAATCCAGCGGGAAAATGTCAGCCACAAGACCGCGTAATCAGCCGCTAGTACCAGAGACTGAGGCGCCGAGGCGGTAGTTGAACTCGCTTTCCCTCGCCGGTTGCATCGGATCAGGGTTTTCTGTCTCTCCCTCTCTCTGCTTTTCCGATCGGCGAATGTCAGGTCCCGGAGCCTGGTGTCTGGTAATGATCTCACCCAGCAGACTGAAAGCTCTCTGACCGAGCAGAGCAGAGCAGGGGAGAGGAGGAGCGACACCGCCTCCACCTGGCAGCACACGCGCGTTTCCCAATTCCCTCTACAACCTTCCCCTGATTCCCATGGCCTTTTCCTGTGGGACTGTAGTGCACAGGGTGAACGCTGCTGAAGATCTGCTGTTCTTACTGTCACTGTTGTATGGATACAGGGATGGTTTGCACCTATTTTAACAGGTTCAGATGAATGCCTAAATGTTTAAATGTGACTCTGAAATCTTTATTTTAACATTAATTGGCTTTATCTAAGTGCAACTATATGAAATATTTGTCCAAAGGTTGTAGGAAACAACAAAAACGAAATATTAATGTGCCTTACTTTCAGTCTGGTTAACGCCAGTCTCTAAGCCATGTTACTTCAACATTGATCAGATATGTCAGATAACTGTATTTGAACATCCATATTCCTGTAAAATCCTAGACATCCAGAAATATGTTATTAAATTGTAACTGTTTTAATTTTTTTTGTAAGGGCCTCACTTAACATCAGATACAAGTTTCTGTTACAAAAGTGTTCTGGCCTAGATAGCAGCACCAAATACAAAATACAACAACTTACAAACACCTACACAAAATGCAATGGTTTATGAAGAGAGACACAGTAGAATAGCATGCCTAACATACATGAGCAACATCCCAAAACAGATTAACAGATAAACCCAGGGCCGCCCCTGGCCACATTGGGGCCCCAAGCGACATTGTGAGATGAGGCCTTTTATATAGTGAGGTAAATGGTAAATGTGCATGTATGTCGTTCAGTATGCGTTTACAGGTGAATACGTCTGCATTAGCTGCCAAATACTAGCCTCAAAAAGATTAAAATATAATTAATGCAAATAAACTACTTCTACTAATAATCATAATCAATTAAATCATAGAAATACTATATTATTTTATTATAATATAGTTGTAATATAGTCAAGACAAAACATGCTTATGACATGCTCAAAAACTGATATTTCTTAAATCTGTATTCAAATGTAGTTCCCTCTGTCAGCAATGTATCAACAACTACACACACATTTCTATCAGTATTTCTCTTTGTTGTGGTTGACATGATGATGACTGTTAAGAGTTAAGGGGAGAGGCTGAGCATCACCATGAAATGTGCAAATTGACATAAAAATGAATAAAAGGGGAAAAAATGCTCCATGTTTTTTAGGCTGTAAACTTTAACTGTTATGTAAGCCAACTACACAGACAGTTTATCACTCTTCCTCCTGTACATTAGCAGATAAAAGGCATAACATACTTGAATGAACGGTAAATAAAGAATGCTGGAAATAACGGCATCTCCATTGGCCTATATGCAGAGACTGCCTTCTTCATGTCGTGAATTGCAGCTGATGTTTTAATATGGCAATTGGCAATTTGACTTATACAACATTCGCAAGTTGTAAATTTGACTCATAGGCTACAATATCCCACCCTCGAGTGACGCTCTAGTTTCTTCATGTTTTGTTATTTTTTCCCTCTTGCTTGTGCCGGACTGAAACTGTCTTTTCACCGACATCTCTTCACCTGC